CAACTGTGACCAGTATTTTCTTGAAATGTGTCCAATTTCTGTAGTTCCACTGTGACCTGTACCTTCTTGAAATATGTTCGGTTGCTTCAGACCAACTGTGACCTGTTTTGAAATGTGTCCAGTTTTTTTTTTTAGTTCAAATGTTTCTTGAAATAGGTCCATTTTCTCGACTTCCACTGAGACCTTTATCTTCTTGAAATATGTCCAGTTTCTCGAGTTCAACTGTTATTATGTATCTTAGTCAAGTATATCCAGTTTTTATAGCCCAACTTCAAACTGCATGTTTTTGAAATATGTCCAGTTTCTGTAGATCAACTTTAACCTATATGTTCTTGAAGTACGTCTAGCTTTTCGAGTCAAATCATGCTTTTGTTGGCTCAATCAATCATACCAATCGTATCTGTTTCTCCAAGCACCCGATTAACAGTTAATATTTATTTAATGTTATTAATTATGGGCATGGTGTCCAAAATAATCATACTTATACGGGACAATTAACATGATAATTCACCCATTTTGGATGCTTTCTGGTGGCAGTTTTTAAAACTCAAGAGTGCACATGAGCCACTCATTCAAATTCTGTAAAAATACGTTTTGCCTTCTATTCGAAATTGCAATATTGAAGAGAGGCAGTAGCGCCATCTGACGGGTACTTTCTTTCAGCGATTTTGAGTACATTTCGTTGGATTCTTGGCCAACAACAACAAGTAACTTTGTGATTTTATTTATTTTTTTGAAATTACAGAAATAAGACAAACCCTAAATAAGCTAGTTATTCCTATGCCATAAAACAACATGAAAAACAAAAGTTTGTAATAATTATCAAATAAATCTAAATATCCCAGCACGTGCTCTGGTTACTGTATTATACTTTACTCACACAAATGTCAAGGACACCTGGTGTTGCCAACCAGAAGCACCGTACCAAGAAAGACAATTAAACGACAATCAGAATTCTTTCTTTCCACCTGGTTCATTAGCGTAACTTGAAAGATGTGGACTTGGTTTTCCTCTGGCACTTGTTTTGGCATCTCTTACGAGATAGATCCGTCACTTGTCATTGCTTCTCACCGCCTTCCAAAGTGACAACAAGTCACTTTATTCAAATGACCGAGGCCTTATAGACCTCATTAGGAACACTCGAATCTATCACTGTGGTAGATATTTGTTCCTCGTTCTTCGGCAAAAATCTCGTAAATGACAAGAAACTGCATTCAAGAAAGTGTACACATTGACACCAAAGATTCATTAAAATACGTTAATGGACTCAAACATTATCTTAACTTTAAGGTACTGTTGTTGTGTGCAAACACAAACTTTAATCTACATCTGTTAGTAGTCTTAACAACGCTTCTCTCATTTACTTCAAAATATTCGTAAAATCGTCTTTAATTAAGTTCTTGGTTAACTTTTATATACTTTTCCATCTTTGAAACGCACAAGTACATTAAGCAATCAGGGTGAACGATTGGCTTTTTGTATTTTATAGTTGACTAATTACCCAATCATGCTTCTTTGAGGTGATGGAAATATCGTTTTGTTATTCAAATATCTCCAAGCTATGTTTTAATTTGAAAACAAGGAGTAAAAGACGAGAAAGAAAACAATCTTATAAAAAGAAGAAGAAGAAGGAAAAAAAAAGGACTTTGCTTCAAACATATTAACAGTTTGTTCTATTTTTGTTCAGATTTTTCGCGCAAAGCTACACAAGGGCTATCTGTGCATAATCGTCCCTAATTTTGAACAAATGAACAACGCGTGTAGAGTTTTTTTTTTTTTTTGCAACAACAGAACACGAACTTGAATCTTCAGACTCACAGTCCAAACATGTAAACTACTATGTCACATGTGTCAAGCGACTATAAACAAAATATTTACTGGACACACCAAAGCAAGTGTAAATTACTGTAAATGCAGCTAAGCCTAACGTGACCAGGAATGTATTTCAACATAGTACCGAGATAACATTTGTTGTACCAAATTATAAATGTTAAACATGGAGTTACAATATAATTGTTGATAATACTTTCTGTACTGTTACACTATAACTTAGGCTTAGAAATCGTGTGTTTGAGGGGTGGGGGGTTCGAATGCAGATATATTGAGTACCACCATGACTTTTCCACAAACTCATCACTGCCTGCAACCAATATAAACTTTGCACATAAAACAAGTTATTGAAATAAAAAATCACAAATCTAATTATAGAATACTGTTGCGTCAGCGAGGTCACGTGACTAGTGTCACGCCACGTTTCTAGAACTATCCTGTTCCTTCGGGA